TGTCACGGAGGAGACCCGGTCCTCAAACGGTCCCGCAAACTAATGTGTGTGTACGTTTCACAGGGTGTTATTGGGGAGCACTTAGACGAGGGTTTCACATGCCTTATTAACCCCTACTCTACTACAAACCACGTGGTCTCACCCCTTGTACGAACTTTATACTTATACACACCCATCACACATTAATTCTGCTCATCCATCAGTTTAATTTAATCTCACTGCTAATGAAGGGAATTGAAATGGAAATTCTGCGCAGCGCGGGTGCGGGGTTGATGATGACGATGTGGGCAAGCGATGAGCTAGGTTTATGGCTTTTTTTTTTTTTTTTTTGAAAACTTGCCAATTATGATAAGGTGATGAGTTTCAAATCGTGTCTGGACTGTGTGTTCCCACGAGCATTGCTGTGAGCGATTTGTGTCCCTTAGAAGCAAGCCATTGCCTGTTATGTCAATCTCATCTTCTGTCCAAATCGCGGACCAATTTTGTTTTTGCTTCCCTGCATCCAATTCAGCCGGCTCCCCCTCTCCTACCCCTGCTCTACTGTCCATTAGTTTAGTTCCCATTATTAAGCTAATCCGTAATCTTGTTTTTAATTACAGCCCCTTTTGTCATATTATACTCTCTGGCCCATCCTACACGTCATTTTCATAATTTCTTTCCCCCTTCATATTTTGTGTCTTGACCTGATGAGGCTGACCAGTCTCTATTTATATATTACAACGTAACATTATATTCCTCCACGTCCGTCAACTTAATCTTACATTTTTATCAGTTTTAACCGGGGTATGATCGATTTAGATAACATCAACCAACAATATTTTTGCAGAATAATTAAGCTCCGTACATGTATGGGGGTGCAGTGGACGATGTGTACGTTGAAGTTATGTTCGGAATTATCGTGATCATGTCGTATAATTTTAAACGGGGAAGGGTGCGCATGAAAACAAGCTCTAATTAGTGCGTTGAATTATCATTATCCAATTACTAATGGCTCGGAGCGGGAACAAATATCTAGTGGACGACAACGTACAAAACGAAGCAAGAAGGAAATTACTCATCAGCTTCAGAGTGCGCGAGCCTTTTCACGTGGTCAAAAATTAGAACGTGGTCCCCGCTATGATCAGCAAACTAACTCTGCTGGAAACGCCATACATATATGTGTAGAAAGCATCGTCTGCTGTCCAACAATTTTCGACATTATTAGTAGTTACTTTATAACAGGTGTAAATATCTCAAAGTGCTTTAACTGTATAAGTGTGTTTGACTACTGGGGATTAAATTATATGCTTATTGATGATAAACTCAATGTATTTATCTTTCACGCGAGTCCTGTTAATTGAAAACAGGGATAATGACGGAAAAGAACAGGGGGTATGAAATCAGTGCGTGTGAGTGGGTGAGACATCCATATCCAGACCCAGAGTCACCACCATTAATTCAGCAGTATCTAGTTAGCATCCGAGTCTTTGAGTTTGACAAAAATAATTTTGAAAGGCGACTGATTGATCATCACTTTGATGATCTCATTACCCAAAGTGTATCAAGCTTTCGTTCAACTTCATTGCTTAAAATGAAAGCGGTCCTATTTTAAGCTATTTATAATTGCGTTCACACTTTTCCAGTACTGAATCAGGTTGCCAAAAACTGAGGGTCGGTCACTGGTTAGTGGTTACACCGGCCTCTTAATTCTGAAGCCACTGATCTCGTAAAAATTGTGCACGTTCTTTTCCTTTTAATAATAATAAAAAAAAAATTATTGCTCCGCGCCATCGACATTTATGAAACAGATCCTACCAATCTCCAATACGTGCATGTGACAGATGTCACCAAGAAATTATGACCGTTCGTCAACTCCATTCTTGTGGGCCTCGCCCGAGCGAACTGCCTCATTGAGAATCTTTGTTGTGATATTATAATCCACATAAACTGATTGTATTATTCTTAGGTTATCTTAACCAAACATCAACATACTCGGCATCGTTATCATGTTTATTCATTTATTTATTTTTATTATTTGAATTTCCTTTTAATATTCAAACTAGAAGTCACCCCTTAAAATTCCATTATTTTAATAATCTCTATGTGTGGTGTAATTATTTATAGATGTGAAATATTATTTATTTTTTGGCCAAAAGATGTGAAATATTATTTATTAGGTAACTATTCGCATTATTGACTCAGAAAATAATTAATGTGCTTGTATAATAGATCCATGGAAATAATTGCAATATTATTCCATACTATTTAATAATTAAGTAATTTTAAAATAGAGTGGATTTAAAGGTAGCAAGTCAAATTAAAGAGTCATTCACTTAAAAATTTTCACTATGTGATCTGATGATGATTGAAAAAGAAAAAAAAATCACTGTGGCCTAGAAAATTCAAATTAAAAATGGGAAAACTTAATGGTTTGATCATTATAAAAAAATTTAAAATTTTTATTTCATTAAATATAATATTAAAAAATAAAAATAAAGATAATCTTCAAATTAGCACTTTTAAAAAATTAAGAAAAAGTTGTAACATTTGGATAGTCAATTTATAACAATAATAAAAAAATTAATATATTAAATTAAATTATTTAAATTAAATTTATATTGTTCAGATTGATAATAAAATAGATTTATTAGAATTTTATAATTTTTATAATAATATAAAACAAAAATATAAAAATAAAATCTTAAAACATGGACCGTCCGTATTAAGAGCACCAAAACCGGACTCATCATTAATAAGGATGGCGAAGAAAACAAACTCACTCCAATGATTGGAGGTTCACTGGAAAAAAGCAGATGTTATCTTGAGGTCCATTGATTAGTTAAATAACAGCACAATATTACAATGTCAGTACCAGGCAAATTTAAAAGTCGAAATTCAAATTATTTGATTTGAATGTAGTATACGTGAATTCTTCAAGCGTATATGGAATTCAATTTCTTTACTCTTCTTTTTCATCAGACTCTGCAAAAAAAGTGCAATGAATATTTCAAACTAATAAAAACTTAATTTAAAGTGATATCGATTGAAACTGAGAGTGAAATGGAACAAGACATGGAAAAAAACATCCGACCGGTTAATTGCTGTGATAGTATAGCAATGAATCCGATCCGATCTCCCAAATCGTACTCGCAAACAAGCAAGGAGGGCATGCATGACAATACAACTGAAAGTCTTTTCGGTTATTTAATCTGTATGTTAGCTTACGTATAATGTTGAGTATACACATTACATACATACATACATGTATGTATCAAGATAATACTCCCTCCAATATTATTTAAGAAGAATTGCATTCAAGTACATTCCAAGAGAATTATTTATAAACAAAAATCAACAAGTCATCATATATAAAAAAAAAAAAACAAGTCCTTGTAATCATTTCAGCAACAGAAAATTTCGTATAGGTCCTTATTTATGAATAATTTTTTGAAAATGATTCCTATTATTTATAACTTTCAAGTTTTGTCATAGGAATAAGAAAAAAATTTTAAATTCATTAGTCCTGTCAAAATATTTTAATAAGTTTTAAACTGTCTTTATTATATAGACATACCTTTATGACATACTTTCTTTCATTCATAATTTTTAAAAAGGTAAAAAAAAATTGTGATAAAAATTTTATTACATGCTTTGTAGATATATAGGAATGAGAGGGAATTCTCTCTCTATCTCTCTATCCTGTAAAGAGGACTAGAGAGCACAATATACAACAAACAACAACAATAATAACAACAAGCCTTTATCTTATTAGGTGGGGTCAGTTATATAAGTCCTTGTCCATGTTCATGATAGATTCAACAAATTTTATATTAACTATTGATGGCCTAACACAACAGAGAGAGCTGATGATTCTCTAAACCCACGACCAATATAATAATGCGGTGAATATATATTGAACGTCATGTAGAATGATACACTCACACAATACGGCACGAAGGTGGGAAAGTATGATGAACAAACAGAAATATATAAATAACGAACAAGAAATGGAGATGCTGAAATTTAGAGCACTGGGAAGGGATCAAGAAGTAGCCAAGCATGTTGGTTGGGACTTGGGAAGGAGTGATGAAAGAGAAGAGGAACAAAGTGAGGGTTAAAAAAAAAAAGATAAAAGTATTAATGGCAGACAAGAATAGGTATTTGGTCATTTGGGTGAGGGCCCTGGTTCGGCCTTGCAGGGAGCATATGGACCACATACACCCAAGCCTACATGGACCTTTGTGGGTCACTGACCCATTTCCTGTCGGCATTGCCCTGCGCAGCACGCTTTATGCTATGCTATCCCCTCATTTCTCCTCATCATCTCCCCCCTCTCTGTGTTCTTCGCTTCCTGTTTTCGGATTCCCCATTTCTCTCTGTTTTCAAGATGCATGTAACATTTTCAACTGTGCAGTAAAAGAAAACTTCCCGGCTCCATAAGTCGCATAAATCATTCCAATAATAAGCCGGTCGTCCGACACCTTTCCACAAATTTTGTTGATTGGCTATTTTAGTAACTGGCACTGCGAGTCACCCAGAACTTGGAAACGTGAACTCCCGGTGACATGTTTGGGCCGGTGCAGAAACCGCGTATAATTTAACACATCTCCATCCCCCTTCCCAATAATCATTTTAATTCCAATTATTCATTCACTCATTCATCCATTAGTAGTAAAATTATAACACTCCCCCCCCCTCCAAAAAAAAAAATCTAAGTTTGTCAAAAGTGTTTTTGTCACACCACGTGGCCCTCTGCCAATAATATTTTTCATGTATAAATACCCCCTCCCGCCTTCCATAACATCCGCACTGCATCGCCAACAAATCCATCAAAAATTTGTGCTCAACACTTCAATCTCCCCCTCCCCCCAAACTCCCAAAATATCTGTCCATCTTCCTCTTCATCCTTAACCACTGCGTTAAGTGGCACTCTTCTGTACTGCCTAAATTCTTGTATTCTCCGGAGATATTATTCCAAGCAAGCAACGGAAAACAGCCTCGTTCCCCCACTGAGAAAAAGAATGGGCCTGTTGTCTAGAAAAGCCACGTGCAACTCTCACGGCCAAGATTCTTCATACTTCCTAGGGTGGCAGGAATACGAGAAGAACCCATACGATGAGGTTCTCAATCCCAAAGGAATTATTCAGATGGGTCTTGCAGAGAATCAGGTGAGATTCATTTCGTTAATTTTTTCACGACGGCATTATGCAGTGTTTATCTGTACGGCTTCCTGTCTGTGTTTGATTACGTGATGCACTAAATACGGCAAATTTTTGTGTTTTGCAGCTTTCGTTTGATCTGCTGGAGTCATGGCTGGCTAAGAACCCGGAGGTATCGGCATTCAAGAAAGACGGCAAATCCATATTCAGAGAGCTGGCTTTGTTCCAGGACTACCATGGTCTACCTCTCTTCAAAAAGGCACTGGTAGATTTCATGGCGGAGATTAGAGGGAACAAGGTCACCTTTGATCCCAACCATATAGTCCTCACGGCCGGTTCCACTTCCGCTAACGAGACTCTCATGTTCTGCCTCGCCGATCGGGGAGACGCCTTTCTCCTTCCTACTCCATACTACCCTGGGTGAGTGTGTATCTTCATTGACCTTTACATATACTTCTCCTAATTCCTTTTTTGCATACATATCCCTGATCTTGCTTGCATTGCACTTGTGCAGATTCGATAGAGACCTCAAGTGGCGAACCGGGGTAGAGATCGTTCCAATACAATGCACAGGCTCCAATGACTTCCAAATCACTGAATCTGCGTTGCTACTAGCTTACCAAGACGCCCAAAAACGTAACCTTACCGTAAAAGGCGTGCTGGTCACGAACCCATCAAACCCATTAGGCATCACGATGTCCCGAAATGAAATGAACCTTCTCATTGACTTCATCAGTGACAAAGCAGACATGCATTTGATAAGCGATGAGATTTATTCGGGGACGGTTTTTGATTCTCCAGGCTTTGTAAGCGTCCTGGAAATCCTGAAGGACAGAAACCTCCTCAAGGATTCCGATTCCAACGTCTGGAACAGAGTTCATGTTGTGTACAGTCTCTCCAAAGACTTGGGCTTACCGGGTTTTCGAGTGGGTGCAATTTACTCAGAAAACGACACCGTTGTGGCAGCCGCCACAAAAATGTCGAGCTTCGGTTTGGTCTCTTCCCAGACTCAGCACCTTCTGTCTGCCATGCTAGGCGATAAGAAGTTCACCAGGAACTACATCTCGGAAAACCAACAGAGGCTCAAACGACGACAAAAAATGCTCGTTTCGGGGCTTCAGAAAGCCGGTATTAGTTGCCTAAAGAGTAATGCGGGCTTGTTTTGTTGGGTTGACATGAGGCATCTTCTTCAATCCAACACCTTCGAAGCAGAGATGGAGCTTTGGAAGAAGATAGTGTACCAAGTGCGATTAAATATTTCACCTGGTTCATCATGCCATTGCACCGAACCGGGCTGGTTCCGCCTGTGCTTCGCCAACATGTCGGAAGACACTCTGGACTTGGCCATGAAACGATTGAAGGCCTTTGTTGTGGAGTCCACCGGCGGCAACGGCAGCAGGAGGAGCGTCCACTCCTCTGCGAAGAGAAAGTCACTGACCAAGTGGGTTTTCCGGCTATCCTCTCGTGACCGCGAACAAGAAGATCGATAGATGGCTCGGTCACTGTGTGAACGCATGCACCACTCACTTGACATTTTTACCCCAAGAATATATTTGGTGGAGTTTAAAATATTCTTCGATGTCTTTTTTTAGGTTGACCAAAATGTAGAGAGAGGGAGGGAGCACTCTGTCCATGTGGATGTGAAGTGTGGCTTTAGTCTAGGCTAGTGTGATTTGGATCATTAGTTCCGCGCATTAAAGATCTTTCTTGGTATCATCACATCATGAAAAGTTCCCTGTAGCAGTATAAACTATATATTATAGGGAATGGTTGTATAAATTATCCCCGAGAATCGCCTATATAATAGCCACTTGCAAATTATATTATATATCTTGTAATTTCGTGTTCTTAATAATTTTATAGGCATCTGGGAGTACTGTAAATGACATTGTGCGAACAAACGCATCGTTTAATTAATGGCATCCGGCGAGATAAGCGGCTACAGACGGTAGATGGAGTTGCCGACGCTGACGGCCGGTCTTCCTCAAACCGACCTCTTACCCGTTTGACTGCTTTTCACGGTGACCCAGCATATTTCAAGGCGTCCGAGTAGGGGAAGGACCATACAAATTATTCAATTCTGAATCCATTCAATGAGACATTTTAATATATGAGAGGGCAGACCAATTCCAAGGGACTCCCTCGCCACTGCCCCACCTTTCTCTTTTACTGAAAGAAAGGAGAATGCAGAGTAAAAGTAGAAACTGTCTCCATGCACATCGTAAAGGGTCTCCTCGCAAGAAATCATTTTTTATTTACTGTTTTCCCCTTTCCCTTTCCATTTATTATTTACCAACTTTAAAGATGAATGAATACATGACTTCTTAATTATAAATTTTGTTTAAATAATATGTTCCTTCCAAATATATGTGCGCGCATATATGAGACTCGTTTATATGATAAATTATACTCCCTCTAGTCCTATCAACATGATAGTGAGAGAAGATCTCTTTGTTTTATCAATAAGTGAACATATTGAATGTTGAAGAGAAAAAAAATATTATCAATATATATTTGATATAGACAAAATTAAAAATTTATTAAAATTTTAGATAGATTTAATGAGTTTTAAAGCTTTCTTTAATTTTAATAAAATATGATAAAAGTAAGTTATGAATAAGATAAGAGGAGTATATGTACATATTTTGGTGTCTGGATTTAATAAAATAGAATAAACATGATGTTCGTTACGTAGAAACATCATGGGTGATGAAATTGTTGTTGTCTGAAACAGACTAAGGGGGGAGTGGTACGTGCTGGGAGTCTGTCCGCCAATGACAAACAAGTTTCTATAATGTGATGGATGGGTGAGTTTCAAAAAATGAAGAGAAGGGAACGGAAGCCAAAATAGCAGAAATGATGTTTGGTGAGTCACCAATATAATACCATTATTGGAAGGGAGGGCTCTCATGTTATATCACACCACGCATTAATTCGCGTAGTTTCCGGTGTGCAGTGGCACTACCATCACATATTTGTGCCGTTCCTACACCATATCTCTCACATGTGTTTATTATTTTTCGACGCCACCCTTAATTCCATGTAATTAATTAATTATATACAAAACTTTCTCGATTTCATTTTATTGCCATAGAACTTAAATCCACGAATTTAATTTATTATCAAAATAATCGAATGACTTGATTTTCGCATTCTGAGCACGTACCTGTCCAATAAAATATCGCTAAATTTTGTTTTGTTGGTCTGTGGTTGAACGTTTTTCAACGGGTACATATATGGTTGCTAGTCATAGAGCAGCTTCAAAATTTTTTTTGCTTGGCCATCCAAATTTGAGACACTCTCAGTGTCCGGATACTCTGTGTGTGTGTGTGTGTGTGTGTGTGTGTGTGTGTGTGTGTGTGTGTTTCTTGCGAGGTGACTTGTCGAGGAAAGTAAGCTGATTCTCCCGAGACTAGTTGCTAGTTAATCATTGAGCGTCATGTTATTGGATTCATACTCATTTTCTCTATGCATTAATTTTTTTTACTACTCACATGTATTTTTTTCTTAGAAACATGTGATTATATTGATGTAAATATCTCTCTCATCAAAACTTCAAACCTTGTTTGTCACATTATGAGGGATTAGTCATTTCTACTATTGAACCTCCGTTAGTCTAAGCTAATTAAACAGAAAAACAGGAGAGTGTGTGTCACCCTCAACATCTTGATGGATATGACCCATTGCAAAATCTCCTTCGCGGCTCCTAGAAGACAGGGCATCCAGATTGTTGTTGAATGCCTGGCTCAGCCAGCTTGCATTGTCAGTGCACGAATTTCCTTCATGGAGAACGTATGAACCAAATTATTTTGTGCAATGTAATTTATTAGTGTTTGGGTATTTAAATATGAGAAGTTTTGAATTGATTAAGTTAGGCAAAATAACTAATAGATATAAAAAAAGGATCATCCATAATATTTAATTTCAAGATTTTGAGTTAGGATATAACATCTTTTTACCGCCCTGACATGTTTGCTTCATATTACAATGGGTTGTACTTGCACTGGGATAGAGGATTTAGAAAGGAGTCCCTTTAAAATTTAATAGTCACAATTTTGTTAAAAATGTTAATGTTAATTAAAGTGTTTATGATTTAAAAACATTTTTTTATTCAATCTCTGTATCACTCGCCAGCCATCACACTGTAAATTAAGTTTTACATATTTTACTGGGAATGTATAGAGATATATCTACAAACCAATAGAAAACTTAACAATAAATGTAATTAAAACCCCAATGATAAATATTATAACTTTAAAAACCTTAGAAAATATGAAGACTCGATAGCATATGCTACTAAGATTTTCTTCACTAATATTTCTCTTTCTTTTGTTATTGGGTCATCGAGACTGTTTTTATTCGTGGAAAACGTATCAAGTAGTTTGTAATTAGTTCAAACTAAAAGCTCATGAGTGACACTCGTAATTGATTCGTGGAGAATCTGTTGACTCCGTGAGGTAGATGAGCTTGAAAATATCAATTTTACACTCCAGTTGGTCAAACCAACCAAAAAGAAAAAAACTTCGAAGGTAAGCTCCAATTTTGCTAAGCGAGTTATGTTCTAAATTCTAACATTCCAATATATTTCATGAGGTCATGTGGAAGAAAGAAAATTTAACAATTTTTAATTAAAGGGCCAGTATTTTTTTAGTTAAGATTTTTCTGGTTAGATTTATTTATTGGATCTTGCTTTAAACAAGGCATGAGATCGTTTTCCGTTTCCAACTCCGCATATATTCAACGGCTACCTTGCATGTGAAGAGGGGATTGACTTGATTATTCATTATTGGGTGAGTAGAAGACGGATATTAATAAATTTGTATTATCGTTTTCAAATATGAAGGCTTTGGGAATTTTGGTCGATTTCCTCATTATTGACAACAACATGCATGTGCTCTACGAGTTAAATTATCTGTTTTTTGCTACACATTCGCCGTCAGACTTTGAACAATCAATTTTCTCGGTACAACCAACCAACATATCATGATGTTCGTTTTTTTTTTTTTGGTGGGTTTGATAATAATGATATTTGTCTGAACAGATTTAAATTTAAATATCGATCTTTTTTTTTAGTGGAAACCGGAAACATAAATAGTGATATCTGATTTAATATTATGATCTTCTCCAAGATTAATAATTCTCTTTTTCGTATTATTATTGCTAGTGTTATTATTATTTAAGAAATGAAACATGTCAACTGACTCTACACGGTTTTCTGTTAGGATCTGTTGAGCGCGTTCCTGATTTTGGACGGTAGCAGAACATGATATATGCTGAATGCTGAGATATGTTTGTGTTTGTCTATATATATATATATATATATATCATGAATTTGGAGAATGTGAATGCCAAATCTCCCAGATAAAAATTTGTCTGTTGTGAAATAATTTTTTCAATTTATTTTTCGTATCAGAAGGGTCGACTTATGCATATTCTTATTCTCAAATATCAGTTTAATGAATACATATACATATTTATTACTATATATGGGGGTACACACACATATTCTGATTGGTTGTAATCCTCTCATTAACGTTCAGAAGAACTGATGATTGTTTGCATAAGGTCTCTCAAGTAATAATTTATTTATTTTTAAGGGAAAAGTGATGACAAGTAAAGCACTTTAATTAAGATCGTGGGTATATGATGAAATGGTTCTGTATGCAGACATGAAACCTTTTCACTAAGAAAGATGCTCGCATATGTTTAGACATCAACGTTACATTTAGGCATTAATCAGTCGTGCATGTTCCCCTTGAAAAGAAAGGAAATAAAATTTATATGCACACTTTCTGGACTACTTTTTGCAGATAAAAAATGTAATATATATATATATATATTACTTTTTTTGTGCAAATTTATCAACTTAAAGAAATATTAATTAATAAAAAAATTAATTAATTGTTTAGTCCTTTAACTTTTAATTATTTTTTTAAATTTAACTCGTCACAGCTTAATCTCTCAAGATCTATTCAAAAATTACATCTCTGTTGTTAGTAAATGGTGCTGACTCTGTCAAATATTGCTTACATGGAGCACCACACCAGATTTATGTGGCACAGCATTAGGAAAAAAAAAAGGAAAAGAAAAGAAAAGAAAAACGAAAAGAAAAACGATTTCTATCAACGTAAGGGAGCTTGGCGCAGCTGGTGACGTCGTGGCAGTGGCAGAAGAGGCAATGGGTGTGGGGAATGCCGTGGAGCACTGAGCGAAGTCGAAGATGGGGAAGGAGGAGAGGTTGAGAGAGTGAGAAGCCCAATTCTGGGTAGTGATGGTTTGGGAGAGAGACTGCAATTCAAATGGACAAAGATGGAGATGTAATGGGAAGAGAGAGGAGTTTTGAATTAGAGCTGGTAATATGAACTCATCCTGCAAAAATAAGTGAGTTGAGTTGAAAAAACAAAATGGGTTTATTTTTATGTGGGTTGGTTTGGCTTGCCACACATAATTTAGATTTGCAGGTTGGCAGGTTAACCTGTTTATTATTTTTTTTTAAAAAAGATAGAGATTCACTCACCTTTGGCTCTTATTCTTGCGTGACGATCGCACCATCATCATTTTTGCCCCTTCCTGTTTTTTCACATTTTGAGAAAGCACAATTCAGACATTTTGAGAAAGCACAATTCAGACTAGATCACACCATGCAACATAAATATAATAATATTACTAGGATGCTCTTGGACCACGATAATAAAAGGATTGA